TGGCTTCCAGGTGTTTTATATCCATAAATGCCTCAAGATTATTAGTGTTTTAGTTTTCTCTGCTTAAATTCCAGTCATCAAGATGGGTGAAATTAGGATTGGTCTAAGGCTATGTGTAGTGGCGCATAATGGTAAATTCCAGCTTCTCTAGAATTGGAGGCACGAGGATTTTAGTTCATACCAATATGGGAAATGTAGTGCAAGACTCTATCTGCAAAACAATCTTTAGAAGGACTGGGAACATGACTCAAATGATAAAGTGCTAGTTTAGCAAGTGTAAGGTCCTGAGCTCAATCCCTAGTACTGAAATTTAAAAGAAAAAGGGGGGAGGGAAGGTTTGAGAGCTACAGTTTTATGAAGGACTAATCCTTAACTCAGAGGTTTCTGCAATTAATATATTAAACATACACTATAAACACCAAACTTCAAAGATGGAAATGCTGGGTTCTCCCATTCTTCCCAATCATGAATGCGGTTCTGGACCTTCTTTCTCCATGTTTGCCCCCCAAAGAACATTGGAGCAAAGGCCTTATGAGCTGTCCTGTTTTGCTGCTTAAGTGATGTCTTCATGTATTCTGGAAAGAAGAACTCTAATTTCAGCCAAGTCAATTGGAAGCAAGATAAATGGCTTCTAACTTTCCTCCCTTGATAATATTTGGGTGTTTTTTAATACTTCTCCATGAAAAGAAAATTTACTGCATGGAAAAACCAGGCCAGCAAAAAAAGAATTTCAGCAACTTAATTTAGAAGTGAATGGACCCATTCTTTGTTTGAATACAAAGCCATCTTTTCATGCATTTCCCCAATAATTGCCCAACTTGCCTCTACCTGAATTTCCATTAATGTCATTTGATGAAACAAAACGTACTTTTTCCTAATAGAAGTTTCAGACTCTCCAATATAACTTCTCTATTACAGGCCATACTTTGACTTCTTTTTATCTAAGTAATAAATCAACAGTTTGTGAAACTTGTTCCCAAATTTTAAAATTAGTTCTCTGTTCTTTTGGCCAAAAATTTAAGTTTTATTTGCCTCCAAATAAATTTTTCCAATGGAAAGACTGGGGTCTAGGAATATTTCTTATATTAAAAAAGATAAATGGAAAATTCTGTCTAGAAGTTAGAATATGGCATAAGTCTACCAGTCATTCCACCAGCCATTTTATGACTTTTTAACTAAGCCCTTAAGTTAAATGAAGGATAAATTTACCCACTTTCTTATGATCATGATAATATATTTTTTTTGGGGGGGGTCTGGTGGTGGGGCCTGAACTCTGGGCCTGGACGCTATCCCTCAGCTCTTCAGCTTAAAGCTAGCGCTCTACCACTAGGGCCACAGAACCACTTCCAACTTTTTTCTTTTTGCTTATGTGGTGCTGAGGAATTGAACCCAGGGCCTCATGCATACAAGGCAAGCGCTCTACCACTGAGCCACCTTCCCAGCCCTGATTTGGAAATACTTCTTAACAGCAAGTAAAGCTTTCAAAGAAGTCAGTTTCAATATGATAAAGAAGGTTGTCCAGTTTCTAAATGATTTCTAGTTAGAAGTTTTCAGAAGCAATTAAAACAATTGGGAAACCTTTTTTTTTTCTAAAAAGTATATTAAATATGAAGGGAATTCCATATTGCAGTGATTCAAGCACCATTATTATTTTCAATAAGGAGAACGAAAAAAGGGTTTATTCCAGCCCCTACCTTTTTCTGATAAGATCCAAGGAAGAAACTATTTTGCTTGGAAGAAAGGTTTATGTGAACATACATACCTTAAAGTTGTATTTTTGGCTCTGAATGAAATACTTTCAATTCCACAGTCTCAACATTACCAAAACCTTTGAATGAGACATTCAGAAGCGACTTGAATATGGATTTTGCTTTCAAGAAAACATACAAGTTACTGACAAGAAATGGTTACATGAGCACAGTCATCCTAAGTAGAAGTCTAAGAAGAATATTTTACAGCCAGAGGATACTATACATAGCTACCATTGTCATCAGCCACACAGAACTGAAAGCAGAGTAGGAGATTAATGCTTCTTTTTAAACAAGTGCATTAATGTCATTAGAAACCACATACAGAAAAATTGATGAAGAGAGAAAGGGAAAAACAGCTACCATGGATGCTTTCCTTCATTGTTTTCATCTTGGTGTTTTGTTTCTTTTCTTCTTAATAAAATACTTTTGTCATGAGTTTATATTTTTGCTTGTTGTCATCACTATATTTGGTAATGTAAATAATTCACATATAGTTCATTATAATGGCATCCACCACTGTGTCTGTTCACAGTGCCAACTAGAAAATGTGAAATGATAATACTATTGAGCAAAGGGTAGACAGAAATGCAGTTGAAAGGAGTCGTTTTCTTCTTTCTTTCTTTCTTCCTTTCTTTCTTTCTTTCCTTCTTTCCTGCTTTCTTTCTTTTTTTTTTTTGCCAGTCCTGGGGATTGAACTCAGGGCCTGGGCACTGCCCTTGAGCTTTTTGCTCAAGGCTAGTACTCTACCACTTGAGCATCACTTGCCACTTTTTCTGTTTATGTGGTACTGAGGAATCGAACCCAGGGCTTCATGCATGGTAGGCAAGCACTCTACCAGTAAGCCACATTCCAAGCCCAACATTAGGCCACTTTTTTTTGTTGTTGTTGTGGGGCCTGAACTCAGGGCCTGAGTGCTGTCCCGGAGCCTCTTTGTGCTCAAGGCTAGCACTCTACCACTTGAGCCACAGTGCAACTTGGGAGTCATTTTCAACCCAGATTCATAAAAATGGGTCCATTTTAATACAGTTATTGGTTTTCTTGCAAGGATGTTAGTACTATTTGTTTTCTTCTTCAAAGGAATTAATGACAAATTGAATTCCTTTTCCTGGCAATATTCCTTTCATCAGACTTCTTTCAAGTGGATCCTTCTTAGGTAGGGTAGAAATGATCTGTCTTAGGGCTTTTGTTCTCAGGAGTCTCTTAATGAATGAATTTTGCAATGTAACACATAAAACTTGCTGACCTAAGGAACCACTCAAGGAGATCTTCCAGCAAGGCAGAAATCCTTGCCACAACTCAAAGAAGATGCAGGAGAAATTTGGTCACTGACTACTCTTGGCTTAGTGCTCAGCAAGTGTTTTTCAGCTCACCACAAAGATACTTTTCCTGTAATAGCTGAGATGTCCTTGTTATCTTTCTTAGGAAGTCCTTAATGATTAATTGATTTGATACTGTGATTTAAAGCAGAAAGTTGTTAGACTATCTACCATGTATCTCTATATCTTCCATGTTAGAAAATAAATTTTATACTGTATGTAAGAAAGACTTTACTCTTTTTATTTCTTTGTTTCTTTTCTTCTTCTTCTTCTGGTACTGGGGCTTGAACTCAGGGCCTCTCTCTCTGCTCTTACTTAGCTTTTTCGTCATGTCCAAAACGAACTTTACAATGTTGGTGGGGGGGGGGGGCTGGGGGGAGGGAGGAAGGAGAAGGATTGGGATTAGGGGGGGAGGGGGGAGGCTGGGAAGGGATGTGAAGGATAAACAAAGGAGGAGGCTGCAATGCTTGGTAAGAAATGTACACATTATCCTGCCCATGTAACTGTAACTCCTCTGTACAGTATGTTCACAAATAAAATTAAATTAAATTAAAAAAAAAAAAAAAAAAAATTTCTTCTCCTAAAAAAAAAAAAAAAAAAAAAAAAAAAAAAAAAAAAGAAAAGATAACCTGAAAACTGAAGCAACAAAATTTGTTTCTACAAGGCAATAAACAATGAAACCATAAAAATTTAAGCTGGGTGCTTATGGTTCACAGTTGTAACCCTAGCTACAAAAAAAAAAAAAAAAAAAAAAAAAAAAAAAAAAAAAAAAGACTGATACTCTGCTACTTCAGCCGCACCTCCATTTCTGTTTTTTTGCTGGTAAATTGAAGATAAGATTCTCTTGGATTTGTCTACCTAGAATGGCTTAGAACTGTGATCCTCAGATCTCAGCCCCTGAATTGCTAGGATTGCACACATAACCCACCAGCATCCAGCGTTCCATTCTTTTTTAACCCCACTCAGTCCAAGGTGATGTAACTAATTTTTTAAACTGACCCGTTCCAGTTTGGGATATCTCTATAGGAATAGCCATTCAAATTGCCTGAGGTTAAATGAAGGATAAATTTGCCCTCTGTGTTGTGATAAAGATAATGTATTTTTATTTGATCTTTATTGATTGTTCTTTATTCCTAATCAAGAAAAAAATCATTTCCAGAGTATGCCTTTTTAATTAAAAGGTTGAACATTAAAACTCTAGTGAGACTGTGCACTTTTGGTCTTCATAATCATTTAAGTCAGCCAGATTTTTTTTTTCTCAACTAGTGACTTAATGGGAAAATAAAAAAATGTTTACATTGTAAAGTTTTATGGCTTCTTGTCATACTGTAGTGATGGCTTAATGCATTTTAAGGCTTTTCACTCCATACTAAATTGGGACTAATATAGGTCTTTCAAACAGAATGAGACTGAAAAAAATAAATGTGAATACTGAGATCATTAACTTTAGTCCTTCACATGTTTTCTTTTGCTAATAAGTTGCTGTTTTCATTACCCCTTATTTGTTATAGCTCTACAAATTCTGATTAGAAGACTCTTTGGGTTTGAAAAGAGTTTTAAAAAATGACCCAAGTCATTGAGATGTATTTTCTAAGGGCTAGTCAATAACTTTTTTATTTCCCTAAGAGTGTTTTTCTCAGTCTTTTTCATAGATGACAGATAAATAATATTGTTTAAGAGACCACTTTCTGTGGATTGTTAGGGTGAATGTTTTCTTCATCTTAAAGGAATCGCTCCTTTCCAAACAGAGCATCTAATTCAAGAGCTATAACTCACAGAAAGTGAATTAAGTTTTATAGTCTCTTAGATGTCAGGGGTTGCAGAGCTCCTGGAGGGAAGTTACCATGCTCCCATCAGACAGAGGAACACTGGAAGTGCCTTTTCAATCTCCCTGGTTTCCATGGTACTAACTGTCAAATGTCTTTTGTTGTAGGCAGAATACTTCTATGAATTCCTGTCCTTGCGCTCTCTGGATAAAGGCATCATGGCCGACCCAACTGTCAATGTCCCTCTGCTGGGAACAGTGCCTCACAAGGCATCAGGTGGGTGGACATTGCCTTGGAGAAAGGGTCACACTTACAAATGGAATGGTAGCTGGGTGCCAGTGGCTCATGTCTGTAATCTGAGCTACTCTGAGGCTGAGATGTGAGGATTGCAATACAGACATCTAGAGCAGAAAAGACTGGGAGACTCTTATCTCTAATTGACTACCAAAAGAAAAAAAGAAAAGAAAAAACAGGAGTGGAGCTGTGTCTTAAGTGGTACATCACTAGCATTGAGTGAAAAAGCTAAGAGACACTGTCCAAGCCCTGAGGTGACGCCCCATAACACACACACACACACACACACACACAAATTGAATGATGATGAGATTAATATTTAAGATCTAAATAGTACCTACTAATATTTGAAGATTTAAAAGCCTTCCAGAGTTTAGAGCCACTTAATTATTATCCTTGGGACAAAGTATTAGGATGATAGTGAAGAAATGATGGATTTATAATTTCCTAAAAAACTCAGCAGAGCTCTAACACATACCAAGCTTATAAATTATTCCAGATTTATGAACAAAGAAAATACACAGAACTGGTGAGATATATTCAGACAATAAATGTGTGTTAATACAGTGCATATAACTGTGACAAAGACTTACAATAACATCTAGGTGCCAGTGGCTCACTCCTATAATCCTAGGTGTTCAGGAGATTGAGATCTAAGGATCATAGTTCCAAATTTTTCTCTTGACCAAAAATAATCTAAACAAGAATCTGAGGCCCTAACTACGTTCAAGTCTCAGTACCAGCACACACACATGAAAGATGATTTATACAAATTTTTTTCTTGCTCTTTTTTTCCTAAAAGAACCAGCCAAGGGCATAATAAGTATATAGTGTATTTCCTTTCCAGTTTATATTTTGAATTTTGCTTTGTCTTTTTTTGATGATCAAAATACATATAGAAGCTCATTTCAATTACTGAATTTATTAGTTAAATTAGTTATAGTTACATCTGCTCAGATTCCACTAAACCTTGAATCTAATTTCTAGTTTAATTTTCTAATTTAATTTTCTAATTTCTAATTTAATTTTCATAGTATATTTCTCCCCAACTTTATATGTTTTTTGCATCTAGAAATAAAACATTAAAATTCTATTTCTGAAGATATTGACAACTTGGATAAATGGGATTGCATCATACTGAAGCATTTCTGCATGGCAAAGGACATAGCTAGCAAGATAAATAGAAAGTCCATAGAATGGGACAAGATTTTTACTAGCTATACATTAGACAAGAGCCTCATATCTAAAATGTACTTAGAGCTCAAAAAATTAAATTCCCCCAAAACAGATCCTCAAAGAAACAATAACAATAAATGGACTAAAGACTTAAAGAAAGACTCCTCAAAAGAAGTAAAAATGGCCAATAGACATATGAAGAGATGTTCAACATCTCTGGCCATAAAAGAATGCAAATCAAAACAATATTGAGATTACCCCTCACCCCAGTTAAAATGGCCATTTTTAAGAAAACTAACAATAACAGATGCTGGCAGGGATCTGGCCAAAAGGGAACACTTCTACATGTTGGTAGTAATGTAAACTTGTTTAACCACTCTGGAAAGTAGTATGAAGGTTCTTCAAAAAAGTAAACATAGAGCTTCGCTTTTGGCCAGATCCCCACCACCACCATTGGGGGGGAAGGAGAAGTTGGGAAGGTGGGGAGGGAAGGGATGGTAGGGGAAAAACAAAGGAGGGGGTAACAATGCTTGAGAGGAAATGTATTCAGTACCTTACTCATATAACTGTAATCCCTCTGTACAGTATTTTTACACTAAAATATATATATTAAAAAAGAGGAAGCTGCCCTATGACCCAGCAATTCCACTTCTAGGCATTTGTCCCATTGACCACAAACCAGGTAACATTAAAGCTCGTAGCACAACCATGTTCATTGCAGCATTGTTTACCATAGCCAAGATATGGAATCAATCCAGATGCCCCTCAGCAGACAAATAGATCAAGAAAATGTGATACACACACACACACACACACACACACACAATGGAATTCTATGCTTCTTTCAGAAAGAATGATATTGTCTTATTCATAAGGAAATGGGAAGACTTGGAAAAACATTAACCTAAGTAAGTCAGACTGAAAGAAACATAGGTTGCATGGTGTTCGTCATTTGGAGTAAATTAAAATGTGCCTATAAATCTACAAGTCAGTACAATGGATGATAAGACAAAAATTACACTTGGACATGGAAATTAAACAGGACTCTAAGCATTCACACAGTGAGACCAAAGGAGGAAATTCTTAGGAGAGGATCACAAAGGCTCAATAGCGATGTGCATATTATTATATAAAATGATACCTATCAAAATGAACTCCAAAAATGGAAACAAGAGGTTATTTGGTATTTTATTTTTTGTTTTTGGGTTTTGTCACTGTTTCTGATTTCTGTCTTGTATGTAAGTTTAACTGTTTGGGGGGACGGTAAGGAGGAGCACAGGAATTGTGGGACAAAGGATGAAGTAATACAACAGTGATACTCACTAGACACTATGTTGAAAATGGACTATTTGGGATGGGTGGTCAGGAATGAACAAATGGGAAGAAAACCAGGGAAGAGATGACATTGTTCAAAAAGAAGTGTACTTATTACCTGACTCATGTAACTGTAACCCCTCTGTATATCACCTTTACAACACAAAATATTCTGAAGGTGGAATACTGAATGGCAAGAAGAATAAATCATCCGAAGTTGTTAAAGATATTGACACCTAAGATTTGAAACATCATTATGTGAGATGTCTTAGGTTGGACATCAATTGCTAATCATGTAAAATCTTTAAAAAGAATACAATTCAGAGGAAAAAGGCAAATGACATTTGGGGCAAGGTGAGATTAAAAAAAGAACAAGTTTTTCCTGGGAAAAGGTGATGTGCTCACAAGAACACATGTGCACATTGGCATGTATTGCCCCTTTCCTGGCAAGCACATACATGTAGTTTCTGGAAGCAGAGGCAGGGTTTGTTTGAAAAACTGCAGGTGCAGAAAGTTTATGGGAATTTTAGACCATCACATGCAGTTATGCCTTAGCTCATTAGCTCAGTCAGCACAGCAGAAATGAAAGTACCTTGAATTATTAAAAAGTAACCAAATCAGTGTGTCATTGCTCTTAAGAAGCCAGGTAGCATTCATTATTCTCCTGGCATATTTTATACCCCTGAGCTGTTAAAGCTCTTCTTTTATCCCACAGACTCCTATATTCATGCACATTACATGTAAAAAACAAAAGAAAACTCTTGATCTTTGACAATTATGAAGTGGTTGCCTTCTGGCATCTACAAGAGAACAAAAACAGGAAATGCAAACTGCAGGGTGATTCAGTGAAATTACTAAGTTGTATAACAAAGGATAGTTTCCATGAAGCCAAGGTTTGCCTCTTTGGACACTGTCCCTGTCATAGCATAAAGCCTACAGATCAGTGGGCTGTTTCTCAACTGAAGACTTTCAAGAATCCACTATCTAGAAATTTGGGAATAGATGCTAGATGTCACAGGTATTGTCTTCCCAGTCGCCCCAGTTCTTAACAAAATAGAAAGCCCTCAGTAGCTTATCAGCATTGACTGAGAAAGCAAGTGGCCTGTCAAGGTGTCGTGAAGAGCTGATGCCCCTTGATGTTGGGTGATTTCTAGTTTGGGAGCGCTCTGTAAGCCTGTGGTGTGGAGGCTACGCTTCCTCTGCCTTTCTCATCTCATTATGAGGCCATTGGCTCAAGTGACTAGAGCCTGTGCAAATGTGAGAACCATTCCCGTCTCAGTGAAGAAGAGGGAGTCATCAGAATAAGTTTGCATTTGTTTCTACATGCGAATTAAGTTATGTGCAATCAACTACACATCAATATGTGAATGCCTTGTGAATAGGTCTGTGTTTTAGTTTGCCTGAGTTGTTTTAGCTCATCTCAGTTTAGATTATACTACATAGACTACACTGGAATTCACACCAGCTGGCCTCATTTCACTGGGATTTTTTGTAAAAGTGGTTCTCTGCTCATATGTTGATTGCTGGAGAAGCACAACCTGGCTTTCCATTTCTATGATTCCTGTGGTGTACAGTGTCTATTCTCTTTCTTTGTGCTTGTGTCTTTTCAGATATATGCTAAGATTTTATTCTCTCTGAATAAAATCATGTTAGTGAATTTCAGTCTCTGTTATATGTGTGTAAGGTAGATGCCTGTGGGCACATGCAAGTGTGTGTTAGAGCATGTAAGGGAGTATGAGTGTGTGTTCCATACTGTATACATGTCTGTGAGTGTCTAGTTTGTGACAAATAGTATGGTAGATGCAGAAAAACATTATAAATTTATTATTAACAAAAATAAGGTATGGTCCTTGTCTTTGATAATCTCATCCTTAGCAAAGATAATCATTGAATTGCAGACATCATATTTAAACTGGTTTGTGAGATATGTAAGTGAAAGGGGGGGAGGGGATTGTGAAGGGGAAAACTGAGAGAAAATGTGGGAGAGGGTGACACTGTTCAAAAAGAAATGTACCCATTTGCTGACTTATATAACGGTAACCCGTCTGTACAGCACCTTCATGATAAGATTTAAAAAAAATAAGTGAAATGATTTAGGCATGAAGTCTGAAAAAGCTATAGACTGGAAGTGCTATTTCCTTTGGAACTTGAAAACTGAGTGGGAATACATTGGAGAGAAGTGTCTTTTTAATAGTCAAGTAGGCTTCAAAGTCCATGCTGAATAAGTTCCAGGAAAAAGAATTCACCAACTTTATGGACCATGATTATGAGAATTTGCCTTGTGAAGGTTAATATGTGTTTGTGACTTTAAGTATCACTATTCCACAAAACTGTGAAATCTCAAAAAAAAAGAAGAAAAGTGAGAGAAGGGGTGGGTTAGGAGTGATGGGTGACAATGTTATCAGACACTTTGTATTCATATACAGTTTTGGAGACTGAGAACTTCTTTGTACAATCACTTAAAGATAATAAAAAAAATTAAAAAGCATTAAAAATGTATGGCAATGATCAAGAAATCTAATAACAACAGATGCTGGTAGGGATGTGACCAAAAGGGAACCCTACTGCATTGTTGGTGGGAGTTTAAACTTGTCAACCACTTTGGAAAGCAGTGTGGAGGTTCCTCAAAAGACTCCACATAGAGATCCCCTATGACCCTGCAAACCCACTTTTGGGCATTTATCCAAACAATCATAAACAAGGCTATACTAAAGCTATTACCACATCTATGTTTATTGCAGCATTATTCACCATAGCTAAGATATGGAACCAACCCAGATGCCCCTCAGTAGATGAATGGATAAAGAAAATGTGATATATATACATACATACATACATAAATACATACACAATGGAATTCCATGCCTTCATCAGAAAGAAAGACATTGCCCCCTTTGTTAGGAAATGGAAAGACTTGAAAAAGTCTTTTATTAAGTGAAGTAAGTCAGGCCCAAAGAAACATAGGTCCCATGGTTTCCCTTATTTGCAATAACTAGTGTAAGTCTAGGACAAGCAGAAAAGGGCAAAAGCTATGTACATATGCCATAGAAGATGATGTTAAGTGAAATGAACCCCAAGATAGGGACAGAACTTGTTTTTTTCTTTCTTGCTATTGTTTCTAATGTATCTAAAATGTGCTATGTGATTTTTTTTTGTTTCTCTTGTATCTTCTTTCCCCACAGTATAACCCCTGTTTTCACTGTATTTGACATTGATACCCTGCATTATGTATATACATGTTTCTGATTTGGGGAGGGGAAGGGAAATAACAAAATGCTGAAACAAGGATACAGATTGATCCATTGTAACAATGAGATGTTCAAGACACTATGTAGAAAACGAACTTTACAACTGGGGGCGGGGGGGACGGAGGGAGTTTAGGAGGTGGGGAGAGAAGGATGGTAAGGGAAAAACAAAGGAGAAGCTAACAATGCTCAATAGGAAATGTATTCATTACCTTATTCATGTAACTGTAACCCCTCTGTACACTACTTTTACAATAAAAAAGGAAAGCAAAAAAAAATTCACACAAAAAAAAGAAAAGAAAAAGACAATCCTGGAAACCAGGAAAGTTTGGATGAAGGCCTGTGGCAGGAAAGTATCCTTTTGGGTTCTTCATCTGTTTATGCCTCAGAGCATTTAGTAGCCTACCAATGCATGTAAAATTGCACAAGAGGCAGGACACCCATGACTGATGCTTGTAATCCTAGTTACTCAGGAGGCTGAGATCTGAAGATTATGGTTTGAAGCCAGCCTGGATATGAAAGTTCATGAGATTCTCATCTCCAACTAATCAACTCCCCTCCCCAAATAAACAGCCAGAAGTGGAGTTGTGAGTGAAGATTGATATAGCACCAGCTTTGAGCAAACAAGCTCAGGAGCAGTGCCCAAGCTCTTAGTTAAAGTCTCAGGACTGTTAATGTGTACACATATATACACAGAGACACATAAAAATGCCTGAGGAAAAGCTTTTCAATGTAATAAAGTAGAAACAGCTTGATAGAGAAAACTTTTTTTTAGCTGCTCATTAACTCCTTTATTTACTTCTGAAATAAATCTTTATTGATGGATTTGTTTTTGTTGTGTGAATTGGCATTTTCATGTATAGGATTTTATTAAATGAAACCTTCCTTTCTTTTTTTTTCCTTTTGCCCTCTTTTCTTCCCTCCATTATAGCCCTTCCTCCTTCCTCCTTTCCTTCTTTCCTTCATTCCTTCTTTCTTTCCTATTTATTTTCTTTTTGTGGTACTGGGATTTGAGTTCATGGCTTCATACTTTCTAGGCACTTGAGCCATGCCCCTAGTCCTAAGGTTTTAAATGAAGACAGTTTTAATTTGATACAATCTTGTGTTTCTCTTTTTATTTCTGTTAAAATTATCTGTATTTTTTTTTCATCATATAATAAATTGGGAAGCTCAAATTTCAAGGTTTGGGAAAGTGGAAATGGTTGTTACTTAAGGAATGGCACAGTAATATGTCTTAACAATGCAAAGCCTTCAGAAGAATTTTTGCTTTCCAAGAACATTGAGAAGATTATGTGACCCAGGTGGGCACTGGTGGCTCATGCCTGCAATCCCAGCTACTCAGGTAGCTGAGCTATGGAGGACTATTTGTTGAGGCCAGTCCAAGCAGAAATGCTCACTAGACTCTATATCTAAAATAACCAGCAAAAAAAAAGCAGGGCTTGGGTGTGGCTTATGTGGTAGAATGCCCTCCAAGAAAAGAAGAAAAGAAGAAAAAATAAGACCAGCCTGTGTGCTTATAGCAAAAAAAAAAAAAAGCAGGACAATTTCTAGATCATTTCTTCTTGCAAATCTTGAAGGAAAGTCTGTAAACCCTTACAAGGAAATGATTTATCTTCATTTGATGTGTTTTGCCCAAGTTGAACAGTCAACTTACCAGCCATCTAGAAACAACATGATGCAAAACTGCACGTGGATACCTCCTGATAGTATTTCTTTCTACTCATAAGGACAAATTAAAGCCTCCTGGGTCAGTCCATCTGGCCCACATCTGTATAAAGGACTGAGAAATCATTTAGTACTTGACAGGACAGATGTGGTCACTTCTTGTCAGCTACTCATGAACCATCTGCCCGTATTGATAATTTTGTATGGCCAGAGAATGATACCAATATCCAAATGGCCCTTGGCAGTGAAAAAAAAAGTTTCTCCACCCTTGAAGCAGAGTCTGGAAATTCATATAACCAGCCACTCAACCTAAAGCCTGGATCTGTCACATTTGACCCAATGCTTTGTGGATATTCCACAATTGTTGCCTCTGTGTGCAGAAATATTTAGTTCCCTATTCCTGCTTTGATGTTCCATTGTCTATAGTTACACAGAGGAGAAGCGTTCCTTGTTAGGAACCTACACCATGAGGGAGGGCACTAAGACTATTTAATTGCACCAATTTCCACTTCACATTTCACAAATTTCCTGAAAAGAATAACTCCACTAACTCAGCCCAGTGATTAAAGTCTAGTCGGAGTTGTAGAAAGTTTTCAGAGATACACTATCACTGTCAAGCAGACAGAATAAAAAGAATGGACTTCTGTGGTTCATGGCCATACTTAATATATTGTGACATGTTCATTTCTAGCTCTTTTTTGATGATAAAGGTGCCCACAAAATGTTTTGCCCCGATTAATATGTTAATGCTGCATTTTATGCCTTTAATTTCGTGTGTGTGTGTGTGTGTGTGCACGCGTGCGTGTGCCAGGACTGGGGATTCAACTCCTGGGCCTTGAGCTGTCACTTAGCTTCTTTGTTCAAGGTTAGTGCTTTATCATTTGAGGCTTTTTCTGTTTAATCGGAGATAAGAGTCTCATGGACTTTTCTGTTGAGATTGGATTCGAACCTCAATCCTCAGATTTCAGCCTCCTGAGTAGCTAGGATTGACAGGCATGAGCCATTAGCACCTGACTTAGTTTTCAAAAAGATAGGGTAAGCCCAGATGATCAACAGAATATCCCAATTCAGTCTGAGTGGAGTACAAATTAGTGAGAGTTGTGCATTCTTGCTCTACCCCTCATGGTATACAAGTTTGGTGGAGAATGACCAAATGATCCAAATTATTCTCTTCTTCCAGAAAAGCCACAAGAAGGTCACCAAAATGTGAAGGTTTTTTTTTACTTATTCTTTGTCTCTCTTTTCAAGAGTTCTGTAAAACCAGAATGAACTAGCTAACGTATTTCCCTATACTTTCTCTCTCTTTTTCTTATAGTTGTTCAGGTTGGTTTCCCATGTCTTGGCAAACAGGATGGGGTGGCAGCATTTGAAGTGAACATCATTGTGATGAACTCTGAAGGCAATACCATCCTGCAGACACCACAAAATGCCATCTTCTTTAAAACATGTCAACAAGGTACACAGGGATTGTGATGCAACAGGAGGCTCAGAAGGCTTCCAAAACTTGTTGTTACGTATAATTGCTAAACAAACCAGTGGGAAGGAGGAGCGATGAGCCTGGGGTCCAGTAGCAGTACTCAGATACCCTTTCTCGGGCTTGGAGGATGACATTTAAATTCTAGGAACCCCATTACCCACATAACCCCTTTCTCACACGTGACAGTCTTTTTACCTGTCACATGTAACAGTAGCCACACCCCTGCCAAAGGCCTGGGGAAGCTCATGCCCACTGAGGATAGGATCCACGATCAGATAACCCCACTACTGCACAGGCCTGGACTCACTGGACACCACACTGCCATGCCCCTGATGTCCAATAAGCTTGAAGGCCTGGTTCCTTCTCCATTCACACACAAGCTTCCCTAGCACTGAATTCAAGCACTGGAACTAATTAGGACTCTACTGATGTATAAAAAGTCATCCCTGCTGAGCACCAGTGACTCACCTGTGTAACCCCAGCTATTCAGAAAGCTGAGATCTGAAGGTATTGGTTCAAAGGCAATCTGAGCAGAAAAATCCTGAGCCTCTTATCTGCCTTGAGCAGAAAAGCTAAGCAAGAACATGAGGCCTTGAGTTCAAGCTTTAGTATTGGCATGTGCGCGTGCACACGCACGAGCGCGCACACACACACACACACACACACACACACACACACACACACACACAGAGTCATTATACTCCTTGAAAATTAGCACCAGGGGAAATAACATTCATTCCTCCTCAGTGTGAATTTACTTTCTCTCCCTTCCATAAGCCCCCTACCTTTGGTAGTTGGATTACTAAAGAGAAAATCTTTGTGTGGATTTAGTGAAATTCAAATGGTGTGGAGAGAATGTTCTCACTTACCTTCTTTGGCGCACTGGTATAAAAATGCCCACTTATACCTCACACTGGCTGCAACTCACCCAAAATGACCTCAAGGGAGTACTCTAAGCCTCGTTTCTCTTTGTTGCAGCTGAGTGCCCAGGAGGGTGCCGAAATGGTGGCTTCTGTAATGACCGGCGAGTCTGTGAATGTCCTGATGGGTTCTATGGGCCACATTGTGAGAAAGGTAAAGAAACAGAGGGACTGGAAGCGCTATCTTGCTTCCAGATGAACATGGATGCTTCATGTCACATAGCAGTCCCCTGTAGGTGGTTGTTATTGTTGTTGTTATTGGTGGTGTGTGTGTGTGTGTGTGTGTGTGTGTGTGTGTGTGTGTGCCCCAGTACTAAGGCTTGAACTCAGGACTCGGGAGCTGTCCCTTAGCTTTTTCACTCAAGGCTAACACTACCACTTGAGCCACTTCTCTTCTGGCTTTTTGATGGTTAAGTGAAGATAAAAATGTCTTTGGAAAGTATTTCTACTAGGAGTAGTGTCTATTAAATCCAGAGAGACTGATAGGGGAAGAGAATTTTGGCACAACATTTGCAGTTTGGGGGGGGGTCCTCTTCCTTCCACTATTCTTTATACTGCAGTGGGGGATAATATGAAAGTTTGGGTGTTTTCCTCCTTCCACTTAAGTTGTCTTAGAAAATCTACCATCATCATTGATTGGAAGTTATTCCAACTAAAAATACCATGATACACAATTAAGTCCACACCCAAGTTGTGGCATTATTATAAGTACAAAAAAAGAAAAAGAAGATGAAATTTAGATAGTAAGTTCTTCCATTTTCCATGTAGGGGAAATTACTTTAAGAAAATTACATGAAAAAGATAAAGATAACAAATATTAATTATAAAGTGCTTAAATATCAAGAGTTTATTTAACCAGAGTAAGCATCTTCAGGAAACAAGAATCATTTATTTTTCTTATTTGCACATATGAGAATTGAAAGACCAAGGAAACAGGGCAGAAAGGAGATATTTACAGGTTTTAAAAGACCATATGCATCATAGTCAAGATGATTCTGGGAAAAAATTTAATCAGGCTTTCAAAGTAAAACCAAATTAAAAATTCCTAAGAAATTAAGCACTGAAAAATAACCTAAAAGTTGAAAAAAAAATCTAAAAAGCAGGGACACATGTGTCCCTGGAGAGTGAAGATTTGAGAGTGAATCACAAAGCCTGCCATTGTTGGATCCTGCCCTAAAGTCCTCTGTGGCTTTAATCCGTGTTCTTTCTTTTTCTCTCCCTGGAAGCCCTTTGCACACCACGGTGTATGAATGGCGGACTCTGTGTCACCCCTGGTTTCTGCATCTGCCCACCAGGATTCTATGGAGTCAATTGTGACAAAGGTAATAATTTCTCTTTAGGAACAGTGTTCTCCTTTCTCAACTGTTCCGTGCCATCACTCTGTAAATAAGGTGTATCACTGCAGAAATAATTGAAACCTCAAGGTATGGGCAGCTTAACCCAGCAGAAGTTTTCGCTCCCAGCATGCTCCAGTGCCAGGATATGTCTATAGGTATCTTGCCGTGTCTCCAGCAGCATATACCTGAGCCCTGCGTAGCGTTTTGGAATACCTTGGACCCATTAAAGATGGGAGTAGGTACTTGGTTGAGAAAGAGAGGAGAGAAACACACAAAACTTACACACTTGTTCTGTTGGTAGGAATTAGCCTCATGATCTTACCTAAATTCTGGACTAATGTTGCTCTAGCTGAATGATAATCTGTCGATTGAAATGATTTTCTAATGCTGTGTCACAAATACTTTGTGGTCACTGTTGAAGGAGTATGTCGGTATTCTGGCTCACACCTGTAAGCCTATCTGCTCAGGAAGTTGACTGAGATCTGAGTATTCCAGTTTGAAGCCAGCGTGGACAGGGAACTTTGTGAGAATTTTATCTCCAATAAACTACTGAAAAAAAGGACTTGGAAGTCAAGTTGCAGCTCTAGCCGTGGTCCAAAAGAAGCTCAGTGACTGCATCCTGGCCCTGAGTTCCAGCCTCAGAACTGCCCCCATCCCCACCCCGCCCCCCATTTTTTTTCAGGATCTTTTTTTTTTTTTTTGCCAATCCTGGAGCTTGAATTCTGGTTCTGGGCTCTATTGCTGAGTTTGTTTTGCTCAAGGCTATCATTTTACTGCTTGAGCCACAGCACCACTTCTGGCTAGAGAGTTAAATTATTGGCATGGAGCTAGACTTTAGCATTAGCCTTGGTGCATTAGCCACAAGCCTTTCTAAGTGGTTAGTTAAGCATTAGCCAACTTATCCTCAGCTTCGGAGAAAGTTGCTTAGTGTCTTGGGCTCATTGCACAAGAGAATTGTATTGGTCTATTTTCTAAGGTTGAATGCTTTTTAAAGAAAAGATGCTAACTTTGCTCAGAGTTCTAGAAATTCAAGAACATGCCACCAGCATCTGCTTGAGTGTATAGTAAGGGTCTCATTTTAAGTATACCTGCAAGAGGGAGCAATTGCAGAGCAAAACCAGAAACCAGAAAGATTCAAGGGCCAGGCTGCTGCTTCTTTGTTTTATTATCTTTAAGTCATGGTACAAAGGAGTGGCCATTTAGCAAAGCAGTTTATGACTGCTGTACATCTTGATCAATGTCACCCCTTTCAGCATCTTCCCCTGTCCCTCCCAACATACACCTTCTCTCCCTTTTCTTAATTTTGTAGGATATGCACTGGAGTTTTCATTGCATTCTCCCCCACTTCTCTTCTTCACTCATTTACCCCTCTCCCCTTGGCCCCACCCCACCCCTGTCAAGTATCCACTTCCCAGTTTATTTTGTTGACTTTTGATTTTGACTTTGTAAAGAATTACACCCTTTGGGGGCTGGGAAGGTGGCTCAGTGGTAGAGCGCTTGCCTTGCATGCATGAGGCCCTGGGTTCGATTCCTCAGCACCACATAAGCAAAAAGAAAAAAGCCGGAAGTGGTGCTGTGGCTCAAGTGGTAGAGCACTAGCCGTGAGCTGAAGAGCTGATGGACAGCGCCCAGGCCCAGAGTTCAGGCCCCACGACCGGACCCAAAAAAAAAAAAAAAAAAGAATTACACCCTTTGAATTCTGCCTTGAATCTACCACACGTCAGGTAATACACTTGTACACACTTGCATCCCACCCAGTGTATTTTCTTATGAGTTTATTCGGGCTTCTTCTTATAATTACACCTTGCTCCCACAGGAACTAACCAAGCTCCCATAAAAACTGTACTCTTCCTTTCTGAGGGTGGTAGCCCCAGTGACCTGTCTTTCATTAGATTCCACTTCTTAGAGGTGCCAGGGCTTCTCACACTGCCACACTTGAGGACCGTGTTTCCAGTGAATAAACCTTTCGGGTACCCACACTTGAGGACCATGTTTCCAGTGTATAAACCTTTGGGATACCCACTTAAACCACAGTAGAAATGTAGAAAACTTGGAAAATAACACAGAACACAAGTATAAAGCATGTGGCCAAGTGATCTAACCAGGTTTATTGAATTCTATGACTTTCAATTAAACAAGTAGGCTATTTCATTTTATATATCACTAAGAGGCAGTGATTATGGGCATAAGCCAAATGGGCCCTGGTCTTCACACATTCTCCTCTCCTCTTATCCTCTAGAGTACAGGGAACTGTACAGAGACAGGATGCACCTACAAAAACAATGGTCCTAGCAATGCTGGCGACAAGTAAACAGAAAGCCCAGAAAGTGGGATGTCCTAGATCCTAAATTCTATACTAAAATGATATGCTACTACTCATTTCTACACCAAGATGCTTGGCCTTGCAAAAAAAAGAAGTATATGTAGCCTTGTGATAAATTGGAGACACTTATGAGTTTGAAAACAGTTTTGTATTTAAGAAGCATATATTCCTATAATACTTCAGCTCAACTTCATTTCCAACAAGGAACTCACAAACTTCTAACTTTGGATTTCCTTTCTGATTTTCCTACTGGAAACTTACTTCAACCTTTGTTCATTTATAGCCAAGATTGGCCTCTTTTATATGGGATAAGAACAAGTAAGACATTTCACTGAAATTGCTAACAATCCAAGCTCTAATTTTAATCGTCTCTACAGAGTGAGCCAACTTGTCTACTTTTAGGTATTTCCTTCCCCACTTCTATTTCTCTTTAAGTGCCAGTAAGCAGTGAAATACTAGAAACTGACATTGGAGGGATGGTTTAGAATGAAGCACAGTGTGATTATTACTTGAATAGAATAATTAGGCTCAACTAAAATTCATCTCAGTTTTTTTTCACCCCCTGCAATTCAGCTACCACCACACCTCTACCTGTGGGATCTCCCAAGCATCCACAGTCTGTCTTTTTTTCTGAAAAGGATTACTCCTCTCTTCAAATATCATAAAAGTCAAATTAAAAAAAAAACCTGCCCATTTTATTCTGGAACTTGTTCCCCCTTATTGGATCCTGATAGTTATGGCTTCTTGTCATTTTTATCTGCTTCAAAGTAAGCTTTCTCCTTTTTGCTCTTCCCTTATCCTCCAGCCAGATTTTTCAAACCAAGTATTTTCTTGGACTTAGCCTTTTTCCTTAAAGGAACAGGCTTCATTTAAAAATTTAAATATTTCTTTACATACTGTGCCCCTTTTTCCTTTTATATAAAATCCTAGGGTGGGCAGAATATAATGTAGGTGATAGTCCATGATATTGCTTTATGTCCTGTACCCAAGTAATTGTAATTATAATTTGAACCCATTACTTTAAGTAACTGAAATAATTAGTTACAACTTTCGTATTTGTGAAGTGGCTTATTCGGTACGTAAATGAGCATGTATAGCTAGCTAAGAAATATTACTCACTTTAAATAAAATCTGATACAATGCTTCATTCTTTGTTCCGACAGCAAACTGCTCAACCACCTGCTTTAATGGAGGAACGTGTTTCTATCCTGGAAAATGTATTTGTCCTCCAGGACTAGAAGGAGAACAGTGTGAAATAAGTGAGTGTCGGCTTTCTGCATTCTCTTATTTTGTTTGGAGGGTGGAGCCTTAAGAACTGCATCTCACCCCTCTTTTTGCCCACATGGAATCTGGGCTGAGGATAAGTTGACCGATGCTTAGCTAAAAAGAATCTAAGAGCTGTATAAGATCTTAGGCCAATGGTTTCTTCTAACTATACTCCTGTGCTACTTATTTCAACAAAAGGTGGAGCAAAGAAATGACACAGCTCACCATAGAGATTCAACAAATGCTCTCAGTTGGGTTAGGTTTGGTTCTTAGTCATTCTTTACATATGCAAAGCTTTTAGCTTCAGTCTGGAAATGAAATCCAGAGCTTTGAAATAACTGAGTTGTGTCCACCTACTTGCAAAAAGAGTAAGTTCTCTCTCTGCCACTCACTGTCAGATGTCCTAGAATAAGTAAGCCTACTAACCTGCATAGAGAAAAGAAAAAAAAACTCAAAGAAAGAGTAAAGGTGGAAAGCAACAGCAACAACAATAAACTGGGTAGCACGCAGAACTATGTAAATGAATCCTACAGTTTTGTAGTGGACAGAACTGTGTACAGACAATGCCTATTGGATCATTCTATATTTCTGAGGTTCAAAAACTGGTAGAACTAATGGATGAAGATGCAAATAAGAATCACAGGGGGTACAAAGGAACTTAGTGTGATGCTGAAAGTGTTCTGTATCTTAATTGATGAGGTATCCCGTGATTGTTTATGTAAAAAAATTGAGTTGTAAACTTAAGATGAGAACACATTTTCCCCTTACTGTATATATGTCATGCTTTAATACAAAAAAATGGAATTCAAGGTAGACTGAAATAGAGAATCATTGTTTTGAGAACACCAAACTGTTTGTTCTGAATCTATAACTTCCACAAGTCATTTTATGTCTCTCTTAAACTCAGAAGTGAGCCACAGCACCTGAGTGCATGCCCAGGAAGAGCAATAGGAATGACACGTGTCCACTGAGAGTGGCATATCCCTGTCCTTGCCATGTACATTCAGGGAGACTTCGTTGACATTCTCATTTCTAGCTATTTTGTCCTTAGAGAGCATCATTGTGTTTGTTCTGGTCATTTTTCTGAAGTGGTAGTGGGTTCAAAATTGAATAATGCTAAGTTCCTATTTTAACTGCAGCTACCAATTTGTGGGTTTTTGTACTTTAATGATTAGTAGATGAAGTAACAGTCTTTTATAGAGTTCAGATGAAATACCTCTGAAGTTTTCATAGAACATGTAATTAATTGTCAGGATGTGGTTTCTATTCTTATTAATTACCCTTTCCTGATAAAGACCTCTTCAAACTTATTTCCCTCAATTTTTTTTCCCATGCTCACCCCAGACAGTGCATACTAAGTAGGTTTGGGTTTATGAGTCTTTATTCATGGGGCTCATTTTAGGTAAAGATATCTTTTCATGTCCTTGACTTTATGAGCGCTCCATTGGCAGAGGCAATTTTTTTTTTGTTGGTCATGGGGCTTGAACTCAGGCCTGGACCACTGTCCCTGAGCTTCTTTTACTCAAGACTAGCACTCTGCTACTTGAACCATAACACCACTTCCAGTTTTTTCTGTGTATGTGATACTGAGGACTCAAACCCAGAGTTTCATGCATGCTAAGCAAGCACTCTGCCATGATGACACATTCCCAGCCCTAGAGGCAATATTGTTTTATTCTGGTTTCTTTTATTATTTTTTTCCTTACTGACCAAAATAGTGGGTTTCTACCTGATTGATCTTACCACAACTTGTATTCGTATTGTTTTAGGAAATTTTCTGCTTGCATTTCAGCAGCCACCTTATCAGTAAAAATTAGAAATGGATCATCAGTTGAAACTGTACCTCTGAAAGTGTACAGACAAAATATAGTGGAATTCTCTATTCCTCCTTTTTAGTTAAGGTATAAAATTCAACATTTTACAGTTGAATATTATCCTGTATGTTAACAGAATTGTGTATCTATCATCTTTATTAAATTCAGCATCCCACCCCCCAAGAAGACCTACTTCACTTAAAACTTGCCTAATCCGAACATTTCATTTAAGTGGAGTCCTGTGCTATGTGGCATTTTGTATCTTCTTTCTTTCACTTTTAGGTTCATCTTAATGTCACCATGGCTCATGAGTGGTGTAGGATACATTAGTGAATAATTTATTTAATTGCTAAGCAATATTCAGTCTACCACATTTTGTTTATTTGTCCATCCATTGGTGAACATTCAGGTTATTTCCACATGAGGGCTGTCATGGACAGTGTTGCTAAGAATATTTGCGTACCGTTTTCTTGAGTGGAAAGTTTATTTTTGCAAACGAGTGGAATTGTTGGGTCATAGGCAAAAAATGTTTCTGAAGAATTGCCAGACTGGTTTCCAAATGGTGCCAGACTGCACCATTTCTCATTCCAACAATGTATAAGAGTTCTGATTGCTTCACATCCTCACCAACACTCAATATTCTTTTTTTTATGAGATTGCATTTTAATGTCATTCTTTATTTTTATGAACTCTATCAGGAATGGTAACTTCACTTTGACTTGTGTGTGAGATATACTGTATCTGTCAACAAATTAAACCATGTTAGAGGTATCTGGACAGATTGAGGGGGATGGATGGATGAATGGATGGAGATATATTACATTTGCCTTGTTATAACTCTTCAAGATAAGTCAAGATTCGTTAATGAACCTTCAGTTTAAAAGACCAAACAGGGCTGGCATGTAGCTCAATCATACCAAAAAAAAAAAAAAAAAGAAAAGAAAAGAAAAACCATGCAAATTTCGAATATTGTGTTATATATAAACATCTTAAATAATATTGTGCCCTCTTATGAAAGTTCTCTGTATAAAATGTTCTTGGTAAGAAATTTAGAATGTTTGAGGCTATTGAAATACCTGTCATTTAAAGACCCAGAGATGATGGGTGTTGGCATTTGTCTTAAGCCCTCTTATCTTTGTCAGTGAAATAGCGTAACAAATTTAAGTTATTTTATAATCACAGAGGTCGAGGAAACAATGTCTTTATGTTGTAGATACCTTATGACATGACATTGTCTTCCTAAGGATTGGTCCACTGATTATACTAAAATATCTGTGTGATGGTATAACCCCTGTTTTCACTGTATTTGATATAGGTCTAATTTGGGGAGGGGAAGGAAAAAAAGAAAATGTTTATATATGGATACAGGTTGACCCATTGTAACAATGAGATGTACAAGACACTGTTGAACATCGAACTTTACAATTTAGGCCCAGGGGGAGGAGGGGAACAGGGGAGTGTAGTTGTGGAAGTGGGAGGGAAGGAATGGTAGGGGAAAACAAATGCTTGATAAGAAATGTACTCATTACCTTGCTCATGTAACTATAACCCTTCTGTACAGTATTTTCACAAAAAAAACTTATTAAAAACAAATTAAATTATATCAAAAAATAAAAATAAGAATAAAATGTCTCTGTGAGCTTAATTAGATTTATTGGCCCTTAGGTAATAGTCTCTCTAGGCTGATTCAGTATTCCATCATCTAGTAGATAAAACTTGGCTGCAAAACTTTTCAGGGAAGTTGATACTAAAGACATGTGGTTTCCAGTTTTTAAAAACCATCAGATCATGAGGTTTGGCCAAACCTAATGCTAGATACATCTCTATAGATACGTATCATATATCTCTATATATGTGGACTACATCAAGAGATATGTGTTGATTTATAGATAGAAATATCTAGATATGTATCAAGATAGGTAGATAGGTAGGCAGATAGATAGATAGACAGACAGACAGACAGACAGATAGATAGATCACACAAGATAATACTTTTACTTATAATTTAGGATAGATATGTAGATATGGATAGATATATAAGAAATAGTATTACATTGTGTGTTCCCAAGAGAAAAGTCAAGCCATACAAAAGCCATAACAGGCCTAAAATAGTGGTGTATGACTGCTATGTGACCTCTCAAAGCCGTGTGACTCCTTAGAAATATGTACTTACCTCTGAAAGAAGCATTGAATTCCTTGCTTTTTTGCTTTCCTATTATAGGCAAATGCCCACAACCCTGTCGAAATGGAGGTAAATGCATAGGTAAAAGCAAATGCAAGTGCTCCAAAGGTTATCAAGGAGACCTCTGTTCTAAGCGTAAGTACCACACACATACCATCAGTCAGTCTGGAGTATGTGGTAATTTGAATTAATGTCCAATTGCTAATGATAGTCCATGCCCATCTACATAGGGTCCATTTTTACTGCATATTGCCTTAATTATCACAGTTGAGTTTTCTTTAGTAATGTATTTGTTTCCTTTAGGTAGCCCAAAGATGCTATAGGGAATCCATATACATACATAAAAATTTACATACATACACCCACACAACTAGATATTTTGTTTTGTGTTTGCCTTATCTAATTGAAGTTAGATTGTCTTAAAGAAAATAAAATTCTACTGCCTAGCAGTTTCTAAATCCTACTGGAGTCTTTTGGGAATAAGAAATCTTGGACATGTAGTTTTATATCACTCAAGACTTTTCCAAGGAGTCCCAAACTGCCATTGAGCTGGAGATTGACTTAAGAAAAAGAAAAATTGCTAGGTCATAGGGGAGCTCTATGTGGAGTCTTTTGAGGAACCCACTTTTGGGCATTTACCCGAATGATCACAAACAAGACCATACTAAAGCTACCAGCACAACTATGTTTATTGCAACATTATTTACCATAGCTAAGATATGGAACCAACCCAGATGCCCCTCAGTAGATGAATGGATCAAGAAAATGTGCTATATATACACAATGGAATTCTATGCCTCCATCAGAAAGAATGACATTTCCCCATTTGTTAGGAAATGGAAAGACCTGGAGAAAATTATTTTAAGTGAAGTAAGCCAGGCCCAAAGAAACATAGGTCCCATGGTTTCCCTAATTTGTAATAACTAGTATATGTCCGAGACAAGCAGAAACAGTCAGATAAGTTGATGTTAGGTGAAATGAACCCCTAGATAAGGACTCAAATGTTTTTTTCCTTCTTGCTATTGTTACTAACATATTTATAAGATGATTTCTTTGTTGCTTTGTATGTCCCTCCCCCATAGTATAACCCCTGCTTTCACTGTATTTGATGTTGGTATAATTTGTGGAGGGAAAGGGAAAAACCAAATTTTTTAAAATAGGGATACAGGTGGACCCATTGCAACAATGAGATGTACAAGACATTATGTCAAAAATGAACTTTACAATTTTGGCACGGGGTGGGGGGGGGTAGGGTGGGGGGAATGAGGGTGGACAGTAGGAAAGGGGGGAGATAGGAAGGGATGGTAAGGGGAAACAAAGGAGGAGGCAACAATGCCTGATAAGAAATGTACTCAGTACCTTGCCCATGTAAGTGTAACTCCTCTGTATGGTATTTTCACAATAAAAAATACAATACAGTACAAAACAACAACAACAACAAAGAAAAATTGGACTTGGGGTGCTAGGGATGGGAGAATTGGAGGGGAGGGAAAGGGGGAGAAAAATGAGGGAGCGGGTTCGACAAAAAAATATACTCACTAGCTTACTTATGTAACTGTAACCCCTCTGTACATCACCATGACAATAAAATTTTTAAAAAAAGAAAAGAAAAAAATTGGGGGAATGAAACCAAAACGAACTCAATTCTAAAGAACTACAGGTAAAGTAGCTGTGTGATTCTGTTGAAAAAGCAAAGCTCAGGAAACATTGACCTCTTCTGTTTCCAGCTGTTTGTGAGCCTGGCTGTGGTGCCCATGGAACCTGCCATGAACCCAACAAATGCCAGTGTCGAGAAGGTTGGCATGGAAGACACTGCAATAAAAGTGAGTGGGAAGCCATCCAAGGGGCCAGCCTAACTCAGACCATTTGCCATGTCACCCACAGCAGTTTCACCAGCACTGTAAAATATCACCACAGATATTTTCTAGATTAAGTTAGTAACTCAGGTTGATTTGATAACACCATATGTTAAAAAGGTTCCTCTAAAAATTCTAAATTGATTATAGATCCAGAATGTATGATCACTGATTTTAAAAATTAAGACTTACCAACTTACATATAAAACATGACTTTTACTTTTTAAAATCTTTCAATGGGATTGTAATAATAGTGTTTTAAAATAATAGTGTTTTAAAAAGAGATCTTTGGAGGGAAAGAAATAGGCTATGAAGCTTTCTATGGAAGAGATGTTACAATGAAATTGCACTTTTTTTTTCAAACATAGTGGTTACCAAGTATAAAATAGCTATAGTGATAAACCACTTGACTATTATATATGTGAAATGAAGTCAGTATTGACTGGTGTCTTCCATGCACTTAATAAGAAGCTAGGCATGGGTGACATATCAATTAACAGGAAGAAAGGCCTTTACTTATGTAGTTCCCATTCCTCTAAGGGGTAGCCAAGTAGCATGTGAGCATAACAGCACAATTTTCATGCCTGTGGCAGCTGGAAGTCAGCAGTGTATAGGGTCCACTATCTATTACGCTTTGAGGAAGGGAACATTTCATTCATGCAACAGAAGTCCACCTTGTGCTTGAGTATGTTGCTCAAAAATAGTGGATACAGATTTACCTATCCGACTATGTCAGATCTATATTAGTGGCCTCCAAAGAGTGGTGTAAGAAGCTTAGTGAGTATGAATATTATTAGTTCTGATGCCAAAGAGTCATACTATTTTTTCTTTTTTTCACCATTTATTAAGTGTTTTTAAGAGTTTAATTATATATATTTACATGTAAAGATATTTGACATAGAACTATTTGATTGAAATCTTTCAAATGTCTGTACCTATTTTACAATATTCACATATTATTGTTATAAATTTACATATATATGCATATTGGTTTTAAGATATGTGTGCAGATGGCCTAGGCTACACTAAGCCACTGATTTCTTTCTTTTTTACCCAGCGGATTGGCTGGATGGCTGATGATATGGGCTTCATTCTGTGGGAACAAGCTCCTCACTAATTCCTATGGGTGGATGGTATACCCAATAGAACATAGTTTTGAAGAAATCTGTGGACTAAAAGTCATATGTGAGCCTATCAGTTTGTTTTCCTTTTCCTTTTTCCTCTTTTGGGGGGAGGGGAGAGGGAAACAAGCTCAAGGTCTTGATTTTGCTAGGCAATCATTCTACTATTTGAGCTACTCCCCTAGGGCCTAATGCTTTTTTTTTTTTTTTTTTTTTTTTAAGATTTGTCAATATTGTGGTATATTATCATTCATATTTACAATATATATATTTATTCTTAACACAGTTAAGAATGTTCTACAAATGTAATTTGACATATTATTTCCCCCTTCACCTTCTAATACAAGTATTTTTAATTTCAAAAACATTCTTAGGAAATACATTCTTGAATAATTACAGTTTCTTTATATAATAATATTAGCACTGTCAACCAATCTCTTATTGTTGAATATTTAAATCATTTCCATTCCTTAAATATCATAAATAACATTAAAATGCATATTATATGAGAATGTTTATAGTAGCTTTCTGAGTAATAGCAAGAAAAGGAAAACAGCCTCCAAACCAATGAAAGAATAAGCAAGGTAGATTCTATACAATGGAATACTACGCAACAATGTAAACAAACAAATTTCTGATAACTAAATGAATCTTAAAAATGTTTTGAGTAAATGATACCAGACACACAAAATGACATACTGTGTGGTTTTTTTTAAAAAAGTAATTTCAATCTCTTTATTATTTTCTATTTTGAGACATAGCTTTCAAATACTTTATTTCTTTAGACATTATTTCTAGTTTCTTGATTTCTTTTAAACATATTTTTCATAGATGACTCTTTGTCCTGTAAAGTCATCCACACGATCAATAGAAACTATCCCTAAAAAGGGCCTAATGCTTTTTGCCTCTGGCTGGCCTCCAACAGTAATTCCCCTGCCTCACCTATGGGAGAGCTGTGATTATAGTTGTGAACCACTAACCTCGGCCTAGGAGACTAATCATTTCTAGAGTCATTTTTGTGAAGAATAGGCAAATCTTTTATGCCATCCTCAACTGGACACAAGCTCCAAGAATCAAAGTAATTATCACAAGTCCTTGGAGCCTAGGGTTGATTGGAAGTCATACTATATATGCCAGCAGTCCGTACATCCCAGTTGTGAGTAACACATCTGGTTTAGTTGTCACCAAGAGTGATGAGAGGTTGGCATTGTTCCCACTGATGAAGACATTCAGCCACTCTTCCACAAAAAGGCAAGTTAGAGGGCCTCCTATAATAGACCAATAAGGGAATGAAGTTCTCAGGCCTACAGCATCCAAATAACACCCCACTGGAGACCACATGTTTAATCTGCCATCAGAGTACCTCCTTAAATAAGACATTGTGTGCCACGAAGATGTCTAGTTCTGTATTCAAATGCAAGTGTGTTCCCCCCCCCCCAAAGCCACCCAGCTGCTTTATACATAATAGAATCAAGAGGAAAGAATGGGGCATATATTGACTAGAGGGAGGTGACAAGGAAGCTGTGAGGCACGGAACAGACTCCTAGTGGGGTGACATGTTGGGAGGTCCCCGGCACCAAGGCGTCATAGTGGGGAAGAGAATCCTGCAGATCGACATCCTGCTTAGGCTTTCCCTCACCAGCAGGCAGGGTGGGGCTTCATGGGTGGCACATCAAGCGGCATGGTAGGGATTTACTACAGAGCTTTGTTGGCTCATGTTTTGACCATTCCATGAGCTACTAGCTTACATACTCACAATTCAAAGGAACACATTCAAGAACAAAGTATTCTGTTCTCAGTAGTGAAACCGTATACTTGCATTTAAAAACCACAAGAAACAAACAAGATGACAAACTTGACTGGGATGCAAAGGAACATTGAAACAAACATTATTTTGTAATTAATTTTCATTTATTTTTATTAGCATATATTCATTACATAAAGGGATTTCACTGTGGTAGTTTCAAACATCCATATGATGTACTTCATAATCAAATTCATCCCATCTATTATTCTTACTTATCCTCCCACCTTTTCAATAGTTTTTTTTTTTTTTTTAATGAATGACATTATTCTGTTTCAAACATGCATATGAAGCGCTTTGTTAGATCAAGACAATCAGCTTTAGGAAATAAAAAATGAACCATACTCCAAGCACTGTTACAAGTTCACAAGTAGAAGGAAGGGAGATCTTAAATAGTATAACTCACTATTAGATTCCACTTATACTAAGCTATAAATGGATAGATACAGTCTGTGAGCACAATTCACAAATCCCATTGACAAGGAGTCAGATCAGATCACAAGGTCTTTAATTCTTCTAAAATTTATTTTTGTGTAAGTGACATAGCATACTGGATCTTATGATCTATAATATGAATAGTGGATGGGATCAACATAATTGAGGCTGATTGTATGATGTAATGAAAAAGGCCAGTGATAAAATGTAGGATTAGTGGAAACCTCAGCAGAAAATCCTTACCCACCCTTGGGTGATAAACATCCATCTTCTATTCAATCCCATTGATCCAACGTCTACACTAAGAATTTCTATGTTTTCACCATAAAAAACTTATTTAAAAAAAAGAATTTCTATATACTGTGTACCAGTAGCTCCTGACTGTAATAATAGCTACCTAGGAGGCTGAGATATGAGGCTTGAAGTTCAAAGCCAGGCAGGAAAGTCCATGAGATTCTTCTCTCCAGTAAAGCACCAGAAATCCAGATGTAGAGATGTGGCTCCAGTGTTTAGAGCATCAGCCTTGAGTGAAATAGCCTAGCAAGAAGGTGAGGCCCCAAGTTGAAGCCCAGGTAACAATGCATGCACACGTGCACGCGCGTGTGCTCACGCGCACACACACACACACACACACACACACACCAGTTTTCATATAGCCAAAACATTTAATGAGTTCAGTGGGAGGCAGATTTGCTAGGTTTTTGTTAACAGAGCTCTTGAGTTTGCCACGTTTCTTAATTCAGGTAGCCTTTTGTGGTCACTGTGGTCTTCCACCCCAGGTTAAAAAGGGAAAATGGACTTCATTTGAATGGTTAATGAAGAATCTAAAGAGCTTGTTTTTGTAGTTTCATTTCTTTTAAGCTGTGAATAATTTTGCAGGGTATGGAGTCAGCCTCATGCATGCCCTGAGGCCAGCAGGCGCCCGGCTTGGGCAGCACACGCCTTCACTTAAAAAGACCGAGGAGCGGCAGGATCCACCTGAATCCAATTATATCTGGTGAACTCCCGCATCTGAAACGTTTTAAGTTACACCAAGTTCATAGCCTTCGTTAACCTTTCATGTGCTAAAGGTTCAAATAATGTTCATTACACTTAAGAATACTGGCCTGAATTTTATTAGCTTCATTATAAATCACCGAGCTGATATTTACTCTTCCTTTTAAGTTTTCTAAGTATGTCTATAGCATGGTGGTATAGATTTTCTCCTTTTAGTCCTTTAGGACAGATTTTTGTATTATGTCAGTTGATCAGGTTAAAATTTTTGTCTTTTCAGTGTGTAGTTGGAAGATATTTGCAAAATTACAATGGGGCTGGAAAACATTAGAGGGGTTAAATTGGGCAAAAGTCACAAATGTTTGCATTAGACAGGTAGTGCTGAAATTACAGAATTTCAAGTGTTATTGTCATTTATTTAGATACTTGTCACATTTTAACAATTGCTCTTATTTTTAAACTCTCATACAATATATTTTGACCTGACGATTATAGCAGAGAGATCACTATTAAAATGAAATTACACTGTTGTGGTGGCACTTAAACAATATAATATATTGTAAACACAATGAAATAAGGAATATAATGTATGAAGTTTTTGCATTGGCTTGAAGCAATATAATATATTGTAAACAAAACACAGCTCTTACATAATAAACATTTTATACTGTTTGTATGTATAAAATAAAGGTTACTGCTTTAATTTTCTCAGTGTTGGGTGGAATAGTCTATGAATTCTTGCTATCATATGACAGTGAAGTTGGTTGCAGTTTTCAGGGTAGTTAATAGTTTTTAGTAAATAGAAAAGATAAGACATTCTGTTTCCCAACCCTGCCATTGTCCCTGTCTTTCCAGCCTTGTTCTTCCTTCCCAGCCCTTCATCTCCACTCAAGCCAGGCCATACGACATTCTCTTGTAACTGCCTTTGTTGACATATCCCACCATTTCTTTTCAAGTCTTCTCAGGCTAAAATATTAAGTATTTGTTTTCATTTTCAGCTAATATAACTGAATACCTAAGACTGGGTGATTTATAAAAGAAATAAATTTGGTTACTGTTCAGAGGCTGAAGAGTGCATGATCATGAGGATGAAGCACTTGAGTAAGGGCCATCATATTATATTCACACATGGTAGAAGACCGAAAGACAAGAGAGTATAAGAGCATGAGAGCAAGATGGAGCTTAACAGTCCACTTTTAGGACAACTAACCAACTCCTGCATTGACAACATTAATCCATTCATGTGTGCCCAGCCTATATGACCCTGTCACTGCTTATAAGGCCCCACCTCCCAACAATGTTGTATTGGGAATTACTCTTTATTATTTAACTTATTGATCCCAAATACTTTTCATTAGTTATTTTATTATCCTATGATGCAAATATTATTGTGCCTTTTTATAGGATCTGGAAATCTAGGATTAGAAATCGTAATTTACCCAAGATCACACATAAGGGAAGGGCTTGAAGCTATGTTTTCTGACTTTAAAATGTCAATATTGTTCTTTCCTGCCTTGCATTTTCTTAGTAGATTACAAAACTCTATATCCTAAAGATTAATTTTTCAACATGTACTATTCATTTTGCCAAGGTAATTAGAGACTTTCTAAATAATTGAATATCAATGGGATGTTTTGTGCTAGGATGAGGCATGACCAGCTGTGTGACCTAAGGAAATGCAGCATGGGTGAGAAGTGGGCAAGGAAGCAGAATGGATGTATCTTTTGTGATGGTAATGGAGTATAGTGACCTTTCTTCTTTAGCTGTCTGGACCACAGTGTCAATCTGTGGTCTCACAGACTTGGCAAAGCACATATGGAGCCAGAACCAAGTTGGGGAACCAACTAATTTACTCCAATTTTTTTGCTAGAAATACATCAAATGTAGAGTGCTTACTTCATTCTATATGCTCTAGTTATATTGCTTAATGAATGACATAGAATGGCATCCATTCTATGATACATATTTATCTAAGTTGCCCCTTTCCAAATCATTTCAATTACATGGTCCATTAAAAATTTGTAAAAAAGTAGTCCTCCTTATAACCACTGTTTATTTACAAGGACAACAGTATTGATTTGTGCATTATAGTTGCCAGAAATGTTAAAAGGAAGAGAGAAATACGAGTTGACACTCTAATATCCTATCATGTACTCAAAAGACAGTTTTATGTACACCCTGAAGTGCACACACAGCTCACAGGATGCCTCAGGTAAAGGTGGAGAGATAATGGGATCTGAAATGGCTTTAGGAACAGAGAGGAGAGTGTGTACTGAAAGCAGATTTCAGGGCTAAGCAGGGGACCAGATGACCAGGTGGATGTGGGGTTCAGAATAGGGAAGTACTGAAACAGTGACATAATAACTGAGACAGGAAACAAACAGGACAGACAAGCAAATGATAGGTTTGAGGATGTTGAGTTTAACATGCCTTTGGGACATCTTACCAAATGCCTGATAGACCATAAGAAGTACATTTAGTGGTTTAAGGCCAATAATTCGTTCATTATTAGTCATATGATACATGAATAACACTAATTATATATTGAATCACTTTAAATAAAAATACACATTGAGCTTTATTTAGAGAGATGTTGTATTAGCCACTTATATGTCATTGAATTTTTAGGTTCTATATATAGTTGACATTCTTTGCTTCTTTTCTGTTGTTGTTTATTTATGGAGAAGTATGGCCTTTATTATTTGGCAAATTGAGCATGGATTCTGCCCTTAGCCACCAGATGCATTATGAATCTTCATCCAAAATATTCATTAATTTATGTAAGATCATAACCGTGGAAGCCAGCTTGTAAAACAAATGCCAATAATTGCTATTTTATGAGATTTGGAATCAGTCTTGTTACTTTATGTGGTTTATAAGGAAAAAAGAGATTGGTGGAAGAAAAGGTATTTTCATAAGACATCTCTATGAAATATTGAAGTCAGTGGGTGCCTCTGGCTCACATCTGCAATCCTAGCTACTCAGGAGGCTGAGATCTAAGGATTGTGGTTTGAAGCCAACACAAGCAGGAAAGTCCAAGAAGACTCTTATCTCCAATAAACTACTCAGAAGAAGCTGGAAGTGGTGCTGTGGCTCAAGTGGTAGGGCACTAACTTTGGGCACAAAGAGGCTCAGGGATAAACCCAAGCCCTGAGTTCAAGCCCAGGACCAGCCAAAAAAATAAGTAAAAGTACTAAGAAGTCAAGATAGTTTGAAAAGATGTACACTATTTGACACAATAAGATATGCAGAAAAGTGAGGTAGAAGGAAATAAAATTAAGAGTCAAGAGAGTATGAGCCAAGGAGTAAGAAAATGAGCCAAGGAGTAAGCTTAGCAAAAGGTGTACAGACCTTGCACACCTGTGAGAGATGGACCATACATTTGGCTCTAAGCTGTGCTCCAACCACCTCAGAGAGAGAGCCATACCTGTTTATGGGCTCCAAACATCATAAGCACAACACAAATGAATTGCTCAGAAGTTCAACCACACAAGCTTCTCCCATTAGAGCTGGATGAAGGTGACTTTTGGGGTGGCATCACTTTAAGATAACCATCTTTGAAAACATCAATTTCCTGTTTATTTGTGCTGGAATAGCATGAATCGGTGAATAAGAATGGCTGGTGACCGGATTTAGCTTCTCATCCACTATTTCAGATCATTTGTTTCTGGCTCTCAAAGTCTTCTCCACTTAGCAAACCAAAACTCAGTTAAGTCCAGTCACCCTACTCCAAGGGAAGTTTATTGAACATTCTGTTACTTGAATGTATTTTTTGGAATTCTTACCATCATCCCAAGTGGCTTTTCAAGATGTACCCTTCAACGATAAACAGTATATTCTTTGTAAAAGAGTATACACATTTTCCCCATCTCCATCCAGGGCCAGTGGTCCTTAAGATACCATTTTAGTTTGATATCCTAAGCATAACTCCAAATGAGCTAGTCTTTAAGTGAGCTTCATCTCCCATGGGCTCTCATGAAGATGTCAGTGCTCATTACTTCATGTGAGACAGACAGAAATCATAGAATCAACTGTTTCTTTTCATATTCTTCCAGAAGGCACAAATCTTCACCATCAAGTCCAGTTTAATACAAGCATTTCTATTCATGGTAGAATTGGGAAAAAGAATGCAGTGGTGAAGTAAGTAATTTTTAAATTGGTAAATCAGAAATGTGGCTGTTCCAAAAGAATTTCTATTGAATATCAGTTCTCAGGCTGCTGTGGTGGCTTTTGTTTGTTCCAGAGCTGAGGACCAAGTTTAAACCTACCAAATGCTAAGAAGAGCAAAAGCTTTTTGTATTTTTATTTTTTTAATTTTTAATTTTGATTTATATATTTTTATTGTAAAAAGTTTACAGAAGGGTTGCAATTACATGAGTAAGGTAATAAATACATTTCCTATCGAGCATTGTTACCTCCTCCTTTGTTTTTCCTCTACCATCCCTTCCCTCCCCATCTCCCCAATGCCCCCCTCCCCCCGCCACATGTTGTAAAGTTTGTTTTCAACATAGTGTCTTGTACAACTCATTGTTACAATGGGTCAACCTGTATCCTTGTTTCAGCATTTCCTTATTTCCCTTCTCTTCCCCGAATTAGAAAAATGTTATATACAAGATGCAGGGCACCAATGTCAAATACAGTGAAAACAGGGGTTATACCATGGGGGAAGAACATACAAGAGAAACAAAAAAATCACATAGCACATTTTAGATATGTTAAAAGCAATAGCAAGAAAGATAAAACAAGTTGTGTCGCTATCTTGGGGTTCATTTCACTTAATATCATTTTATATGGTCATATGTACATAGCTTTTGCCCTTTTCTGCTTGTCCTAGGCTTATACTAGTTATTGCAAATAAGGGAAACCATGGGATCTATGTTTCTTTGGGCCTGGCTTACTTCACTTAATGTAATTTTTCCAAGGCTTTCCATTTCCTAACAAATGGGACAATGTCATTCTTTCTGATGGAGGCATAGAATTCCATTGTGTATATATACCACATTTTCTTGATTCATTCATCTACTGAGGGGCATCTGGGTTGGTTCCATATCTGAGCTATGGTAAATAATGCTGCAATAAACATAGCTGTGCTGGTAGCTTCAGTATAGACTTGTTTGTGATCATTTGGGTAAATGCCCAAAAGTGGGATCGCTGGGTCATAGGGGAGCTCTATGTGGAGTCTTTTGAGGAACCTCCATACTGCTTTCCAAAGTGGTTGAACAAGTTTACACTCCCACCAACAATGCAGTAGGGGTCCCTTCTGTCCAGATCCCCTCCAGCATCTGTTGTTATTAGAGTTCTTGATTATAGCCATTCTAACTGGGGTGGTGGAATCTCAATGTTGTTTTGATTTGCATTTCTTTTATGGCTAGAGAAGTTGAGCATTTCTTCATGTGTTTACTGGCCATTCTTATTTCCTCTTCAGAGAAGTTTCTCTTTAAGTCTTTAGCCCACTTATTTATCGGGCATTTGTTTCTTGGAGGATTTGTTGTTGGGGGATTTAGTTTTTTGAGTTCTAAGCATATTTTAGATATGAGACCCTTGTCCGTTGTATGGCTAGTGAAGATCTTCTTCCAATCTGTGGGCTTTCTATTGATCTTGCTAGCTATGTCCTTTGCCATGCAGAAGCTCTGCAATTTCATGCAATCCCTTTGTCCAACCTTTCTTTAATTTGTTGTGTTTCTGGGTCTTTATTAAGAAAATTTTT